AAGCAACATGAAGACCAATCACTTAGATATGCATAAGGGCATGTTTGGAGTTAATAAACAAAATTAATAATATAAAGCAACATTATTAATTTTGTAACTTCTTTTTAGCATTAAGGAAGAATGGTGATTGTATGGAGAATGGTAGCGCCATAATAATGAGGTTGGGAGTATCATCCTCCATGGTGATGGCATCCCAAAATAATTGTGGGCATTGGAATAAGTGTTGGAAATGCCCTAGTAGGAAACCCTAAACCTTAAATAATGGCATCCGAGACAGTTCATATTATAGTGTCAAAAGTGTTGGGAAATTCCAACTCCAACTGCCATTGAAGCAGCAAGTTTGAGGTGGCAACACATTGCAGAAAGTATTGAGAAATTATGGCACCAACTACATTTATCACAACAAGTCTGATGGCTGCGATGAAACCGGTAGCGATTTGGTTTGAGCGTGGTTGCGTCAGACTTGTGCAACCTTTAAGAAATATTTAGGGAGATACCATGTTATAATCTTATACACCCGCATAATCTAACGGTGAAAAATGAAAACGGAAATTGCTCACCATGAATCACATAACGTTGTAGTTCACGCCAGACAGCGTCATTTCAAAATAAAAACCAAAAAATTAAATTAAATTAAATTATGAATTTAGTTTTTTTTTTGCTTAAAGTTTAACAATCTTATCTTTGGATTAATCCTTCTATCGACAATTTAATTATCATTATTCATATCAATATACTTACAATAACATTATCATCACTTTCATAAAAATATAAATTTAAATTAATTTTAACGTAATATATATTTTTAAAAATATATAAATTATATAATAAAAAAACAATATTTAATATATATATATATATATGAGATATGATTCATTTAGTTTTAAAGTAATTTTTATAAATTTGTTTCATTCAATAATTTATTATTTACATTAAGTTTTAACGATCCAACAGTTAAATTAAATTTTTTTAATATAAATTAAATCTTTAAATTTAAAAATAAAATTAAAATTATATGATATTATATTTCATTAATTTAAATTTAAGAATAAAATATCTTTATAATTATTCGTCATTAATTTAAATTACTAAAATAAAGTATAAAATAATTTTTAATTATTTTAAAATTTTATAAATTTAATCTATGTATTAAGAATTTTTAATTTAATGGTTGAATTATTAAAATTTAATGTGGATGATGAGCTATTGAGTGAAATAAGTTTATTAAGACTTAATTTTTGAATAAGTGGATCGTTTCCTTTTCTCTACCTATCTATCTATATAATATAATATAATATAATAATATAATATAATATAATTAGATGATAATTAATGCGGTGAATTTCCAAATGATTATGATTCTAGTGGGTTAATGCAATGTATTGGGTTCTCTAGCTCAAAACTCCGTCGATGACATAGGATCACGGTTATGTATACCTATTTGGTGGATTTGGCGGTTTAGGAATATGAAATGCTTTGTGGATAAAGTTTGGTCACCTAATTAGTTCGTCAATAATCATGCTCAATGCATGGTGGATATGTTGAGTTCGTCCTACTCTTCATCATTGAGGGAACAACAATCTACTATGAACATTGCATGCATGAACTCCTCCTCATGAACCTCTTCTAAAGTTGAACACTGACGACATTTATCTAGATAAGCCAACACTTATTGGATTTTGTGGTATCCTAAGAGAGCACAAAGGCTTGTGGATCATGGGTTATTCAAGATACAGTGGACATTCATCAATAAAAGTGGTAGAATTGCCAACAATCCTTCATGGCTTAATGCTAGTTTAGAATAAGGGATATCGAGAGGTTATTATTGAATTATACTTTATGACTGCTATCTCTTTGACTACTCAAGAACAACAACAATGACATTATCATGCAGCCATTATTAACAAGATTTTGGAGTTTGTCAAAAAACCTTGGAACGTGTATTTTCTCCATATCCTCTTTATGAAGGCAACTATTGGTTGGTAGAGCAAAACTCTTCTTCCCAACTTTCTTTATTTCTAAATCAGTCCCCAGTTCCATAAGACGATGCAACTATGGAGCAACAAAGCCCGCGTGTCCGTGAATGGAGCACTGTCCAATGTACATATGCATCTTCAAAAAAAGTTTCTCCATGCTTTTGAAGAGTACGACCACACGACCTTAGCCATTCTCATAAAATTTATATTTTTTTTCATGAATATCATCTATGGGATGTATGAAAATGGATAACTAAAAACTAATCTAAATTCATAAAATATGAATTTTTTTAATTAAATATTATTTTAACACAAATAAAAATTGAATTTTGAGAACACCATGTTAAATTTTATATCTTAAGGTAGGCCTTATAACTACTATTTTTTTTTATAAAAAAAAAACTTGTATATTACTGTATATATTTCAATCCTAAAAAAAATAAATATAAAATTTAAAACCCAAACTCAAAGTAAAAGAGAAATGAGCTGAATTTATTAGAGTTGTAAGCACGGGTGGCAGAGTCTTGCCAATACTCACCCGAGTTTGCATGCTCATTGGCAGCAGAAACAAATTAAGTTCACGCGCTACATTTGCACGCGCCACCCGAAAAAGTTACCTTACACTCACAGTGTCCAATCTTGTGTTGCAAAATTTCAACAAAAAAATAAAAAAATAAACCTTGTGTTGCAAAAAGACAAGGAATCTTACATTTATTACAAGGAATCCTCTCGTTCATTTCATTGGCCACCAAAAAGAGGCTATACACATACTACAATTCATTTATTATTTATGGAAATCTTATTAGCCAATGTAATTTTTAAATATTATTCATTACAGATATATAAATATTAAATTTTTTTATTTTGTATAATAAATATTATTTTCAATAACATCTTTTCAAATACCTGTCTGTTAGAGAGAAGAAAAATGTAATTAAATTTTTATTCTTTTTGTTTAATGTTGAAAAATCAATTCCCTTTCGCTCTTTAATTTGATTTATTATTTTCTTCTTTTATTTTAGGTCAAATATTTTAATAGAATATTTATATACTTCAGATGATTTTTAAATATTTTTTAATTCTTTTTCAAAACATGATATCGTTTTCTTAAAAGATTTTGTTACACACACATCTGTGTAAATTCAACTATTTTAATCGTAATAAAATTAAAGTGAACAACAATTTAGGCAAGTTTTTAATTGTAATATTATAATCAGTGAAACATCGGAAAAAATCTTTATGTTTTAAAAAAATGGTTGAACTCAAAATATTTTTGACCAAAAGTAAATATTAATTTATTGAAATACTGACATCATGTTTAAATATAATATTTTCAAACATTTATTTGGTAGAGATAAGAAAAAACAGAGTTCAAAATTTAATTCCTTTAATTTTTTATCCTTTTGCTTAATGTTGAAAGATATTTGTTTTTTTTTTCCTCTTTAATATATTGAATTTATTACTTTCTTCTTTTCTTCTACATGAAATACTAATGTGCAAGTAATATTTACCGGCGGTATCATTAACATACTTCAAATGGTTTTAAATACTTTTTTTTTTTAATTTCAAAACAGCTTAATAATTTTGAAAACATTTTGTTACACACAACTGTTTAAATCAATCATGTCTAATCATTAAAAAGAAAAATTGAACAACAATTTCGACAAGCTTTTTAATGTTAAGAAACAGTGAAACATGAAAAAAAAATATATTTTTATTATTTGAACTAAAGGTATTTTTGACCAAAAGTCAATGGATCATTTATTGAAGTGCTAAAAAAAATCAAGAATATCTATTATCTATCAGTTATTATATTTTATGAATTGAATTCAAAAGTAAATAATTCAAATATTTTATTCAACTAAAAGAGTTAGATTTCATTGATATTTAAAATTAATTTTATAAAACAAAATCTAAACTAAATCACATATATTAGTTTAAGAATCAAAGATTTGAAACTTTTATGACAAGGGGAAATTATAATATTTGCTTACCTTCTATCCTTATTTAACGAGTAAATTTACACCCTAAATTTGAATAATTATTAAGGCATTCTGTATTCTTTATTTTGATAATGTAATTTTTTAAATCATGCAGATTCGCATAAAAATTATAGGACTTTTTGATGTTGACGTGTCATCTATATCAATTTTAACTCATTTTTTTTAGTAAATCTTAATGAGACTTAGAAGTAAAGTCTCACTAAAAAGGTTGCATACGTCGAAATAACCAAATGTTTTAGCATTTGTATCACATTTTCCATATTTCATATTTAAAATTATATTTAGCTAGGTAATAATATAATTAATCCTTGAGAAGAATAATACAAAAAATTGTTTTGTGGACAAACTATTTATTTAAATAATTTTCATTAGAGCTATAAAGCATTTTGTACATTACATAATATTTAAAATCATAAAATAAATAGAAAATAATTTTAATAAAATAACATATATTAAAAGAGTTATGCTAAACAGTCTAAATTTTTTTCTGAATTATAGTTAGAATTCTTAAAATATTAATATTTTTTAATAAATTTATTATAAAATAATTATTTAATTTAATATTTTATAATTTAAATTATTATTTTATTCATTCGAAAAGAATTTCAGAACTCACGTTCGGATGAATCATTTTCCATATTAAAAAGGGGTATTATAAATAAAAAAGGGTGTTTTCCAAGTAAAGCCCTATTATGCAAACGATATCTAAGAAATTTATCCTGCTACACGCATGTTCACTTGACATTCACGTGACCAACAATTAACTCTATTTAAATTATTTGAGTGAAAGCCTAAATTATAATAATTTAAATTATTAAAAATTAAATTAAAACTAAAAATTAAAATAAGACTAAATTAAAATTATAAAGAATCAAATAAAAATTTTAACCATCATTTTCCATATTAAAAAGGGGTATTATAAACAAAAAAGGGTTCCCAAGTAAAGCCCTGTTATGCAAACGATATCCAAATTACGATAAAAATTCGAAGAGACAAGACAATAAATAAATATAAGAAAAAGGAAAAATTGAGAGACCAAAACCCAGGTTCTTTTGTTCTTTCTTTCTGTGCTGGGCACATCAAAACATCGTTCAAGAGCGTGAAAGATTTGGAATCCGTTAAAAGTCTGCGTCAAAACTCATTCATTCATTCCACTCGCCACTGATCGCTTCTTCGATCTCCACCGTCTGATCAATTCTCTCCGGTCAAACCCAAAATTAATTTTTAATGCAACTAATAATTCACATCAACGATTGTTCCGCTGTGGCATGATCACACTTCGTTTCATCTGGTTTGGCTTCTGGGTTTTTTTCTGCTTCCCTTGTTGGGTCGGTGATTTTTTGGAAAATAAATAAATAAATTGTTTTTCGCCAATTTTTTTTTTCCGTGTTGGAAGTGATGCTGGACTTCAGGGAAGGTTCAAGTGTGAAGGGGTCACTATTTGGGTTTTGGGGTTTTGGTTAGGGCTTAATTTTGTGGCGGTCGAGATGGAAGCCGATACTGAGTACGAGGAAGGAGAGGCTTTCTTTTGTTACAAGGATTATGATGATGATGATGACAACATTGACCCCGATTCTCTCTCTTACATTGTAAGGGTTTACTTCAAATCTTAGCCGAGTTCAATTGTTTTCTGCTGTGGTTTTCTCTTTTGTTTCTCGGCCGCTCTGCTTTGATTGTGCACGAAAATTGGACAAAACAAGTGAATCATTTAGTTGGCGCCGTTTTGATGCTATCACTTGGCATGAGTTTTCAACTTATCAATGTGTGTGTTTTTTTTTTGTTCCTGGAGACATACAGGGAAATTGAACAGTTATTGAATTTCTTTTATGATTAAACAAACTTGTGTTTTGATACTAGAAAATAAATTCAGCACTAAAATAAAAAATAATTTTTTTTTGAAACATAATAGAATGTCTTGAAAACTGACAGCTGAGATAAACAATCCTTGGAAACTGCTTATGCATACTCTGCATTAATTATGTGGCCCTAGGGATGCTGTAGAAGCTTTAAGTGTGTTTTTTCCTCGTTAAAAACTCGATTGAACGCCAATTGGGGTGCATTGGAAAGCAGTATAACATAAAAACACACACACACCCACTTCTTGCAGCTGTATGTACTATCTGCCACTTGCTGCATCAGTTGTACTTGTGGATGATAGTTGTGATTCAAGCTTATCTTTTTGTTGTTTCTCAGATTGTTGATGGTATGCTGATGTTCATTTATATTTTGGTCCTGGGAGAATGATAAAAATAGTGATAATTGTTAAAATTTTGTTTGTGGGCTTCACGGTTCCTGTTATGATGTTGCTTCTTGATTTACTTTCATCTTCAAAATAATTGGACTAATAACTTGCTTCATGCTTATTCAAGGATGAGAGGATTCAGCATGTTCTGGGTCATTTTCGAAAGGATTTTGAAGGAGGTATTTCTGCTGAGCGTTTGGGTAAGTGGCATAATGGAAATCATAACTTGTAATGAGAAATGAAAGAGCTGTCTATGTGCTCATAAAAGTAATATTATTGGATGATATGAATAATTTTTTCAGGTGCAAAATTTGGTGACTATGGCTCCTTTTTACCTACCTGTGAACGCCCTCCTCCTTTGCGATCTTGTCCAAAGACTCTACAAAAGGATAACAATTTGCCGAAATCTCCTAGGAGATCTAGCAATCTCCAAATGGCGGTATATTAAAATGTTACTTTTTATTTTGCTTTTTTTGACCATTGGATAGGAAATTAACATGTGTTAGCTTGGAGATATACAGTTTACTTGAGCATTGTCGGTGATGTTGTTATACAGGTTGCGTTTCTCAACTCAAAAGCACCTTCAAATATGCATCCTTCTATGAGGCTTGGAACAGCTTCCTGTAATGCTCATCCATTTCATAACTTAAGAGTACCTTCGGTTGATGATCCTGTAAAGAACACAGGAACTTCATCCAATAAAATAATAGAGAAGTGCACTGTGAAAGATGATTGTGTAAATAAGTCGGAAAATTTGACTGACCAAAGAACACTGAAGTTGCGAATCAAAGTGAAATCAGATATCTTAGCAAAAAAGAATGCTGAAATTTACAGTGGTCTAGGACTTGATGACTCTCCATCTTCCTCAATGGAGAACAGCCATGAAGAAAGTGAAGAAATGCCACATGTATCTCAAGAGACCCCTGAAGAATCTCCAACTAGAATTATTCAGGTAGATGATGTGTCCTTTTTCTATGAACCAATAATTTCAATAGCTTAAGCTGTCAAAGTGAAATTACTTGAATAGTTTTGGTTGCATTTAGGTAAACAACTTACTTAAACACTTATTGAGTAAATGCTTATCATATAAATGCTTACACATAATTTGTTTCTATAATCAAAGGAGAAATAGGGTTAAACTGTTTTCATGAGTTGTAAGTTGTTTTCATAAGTTATCTTGGAGAGGTTATTGAAATAAGTTGAAAACAACTGATAGACAAATCATAAACTATTTTCAAGTTCTTCAAAACCCTTACACAAGTTCTTATGTCAATAGATAAGTTCAAATAAACTGGAAATAAACTTCCAAATGCACCCTTTATATTTAACAAAACCACTCATGCAAGATCCCTTTAAGCTTGAAGCGTGGATAATGCATAGGCCTACCTTATCATGTGGGCTGAAACTTAACTTCTATTCAGAAGAATCAAGGCAACAAGGATTAAACTCTAGACTACATGGTCTTGAACCAACTATGCTAAACACTTAAACCATTGGGTGAAGTACGTGATTTTTTTATATATAACAAATTTTCTTTAACATTTATAATATTTGATGCTACAGGTTATGTCTTCCTTCACTATTCCTGGAGGTGTGCTAATATCACCTCTACATGACAGTATGCTGTACTTGATAAAAAAGGAAAAAGATCTTGGAGACAAAAGACACATTTTTTCTCTTAATGGTCATCAAGAACATTATTCCATGTCTACTGATGAATCAGATTCTTTTGTTGGGGAAGGACATTTGTTGAAGAAAAGGAAAGTGACGGTGGTGGACCAAAGTGAAAAAGTGCATATGAATGCTAACTTTTCTGAGAATGATATGAAGTTACATGTGAAGAAAAAGTTAGGAAATAGAACTCCAGATCGTAAGGATTTTCTATCTAATGACCTGAGAAGCACACCACTGTCAAGTTCAATTTGTGATGCTGGTGAAACTGCTGAAGTCACTGGTAAGGCTTTTGAAGTATCCAAGGAGGTCAATAAAGATGGTGTGAAATGTAGAGTGGTTTCCACTGAAGTAGTGAAGGAGGATTCCCTAGAGTCAATATCTGGTCAGGATTTTGACAAGTTTGAGAACAAAAATACAGGAAGTAGCTTTATGAAAGTTTTAGAGCATAAAATGGAAATTTCTCAGAATAATAATTCCACTGATCCTAAGAATAATAGCAAGGGTAAAGCTTTTGCTATTTCAAAAAGGGTTAAGTGTGATGAAGTGAAACACAAGGTGGATCAAGATACTCAAGTGTGTGAGAATAATCAGAAAGGAAAGGAAATATCTGAAAGCAAGAATGAGTTGCAAGGTGAACGGTGTTCTGGGAAACATATGACTTTTGCTGAAAAAGATAGCATTGTTACCAGTAATGATGCAATGATAAATGATAGGAAGAGAACTGGCACTGGTGTTATTTCTTCTAATAGTAAAATGCATAAAATAAAGTCACTGAAGGATAATAAGGTCAGAGCTCGTGACAAAGATTCATTGAAAGGGAAAAAATCAGAACGGATGGTTGATGGAGTAGATCCAACTGACTGGCCTCCCCTAAATAAGACTACAGGTAGTGCTAACCGTGATCATGTTGCAAAGAGTGCATATAGGGTTAAAGTAAAGGAAAGACCAACTGGCAATAAAGTAGTTAATCAGTTGTCAGCTTGGCCATGTGTAAAAGATGCTCCAGGTGCATTTCCTATTGCTGAAAATAAACCAACTTCTGATATGGTTGTGCCATCATCAGCAGCTGTACCTCAAGTTATCGAAGAAGATTGGGTATGCTGTGACCGTTGCCAGAAATGGAGGCTTTTACCTATGGGTTTAAAGCCAGACCAGCTTCCAGAGAAATGGTTGTGTAGCATGCTAGATTGGCTGTAAGTTGATTACTCTCATCTTGGTTTCATTTATGAGCATATTTTGCTAGTTAAAAACTTGGTTGATGTGTATTAAAACCAGAACTGGCCAGTATCTGGAGTGAGATACAAATTATCATACATTTTCTCCTTTCTCAAACTGTGCATGCATTTGGTCTTTGCTATTAGCTTCTCATTGTTCTTCTGAAATTGTTGTTAGGCCCCGAATGAATCGGTGTAACATCAGTGAGGAGGAGACAACAAAAGCACTTTATGCTTTATATCAAATGCCGATTCCTGAGGGTCAAAATAACATGCAAAGCCATGCCACTGGACCTGAAACTGGAGTGACATCTGTTGATGCTCTGCAACTTGGCCTGAATCACCAAAAGTCCAGTTCTGATGTAATGTTTGATCTAGGAAAGAAGAAAAACAGTATGAATGAAAAAGCAAAGCCAGGAATCAATAATGACATGCATCAGTTGTCAAATACTGAAAAGAACAATGCTCAAGAGTCTGTGAAAAATAGAAACTTGAATGACATGAATCAGTGGCCTGCAGACTCAAATCGTACAAAGAAATCTAATTCTAAACATTTGATAGAAGAGAAAAAAACAGTTAAGGCAAAAGAAAAGCAAAGGAATGGAGGTATATCTCATTCACTTCAGGGTTGATATATTATATTGTTGCTTCATATTTATTTTTTTGGTGTGAATAACTACTTATAAATAGTTTTAATAGAATATGTCAATGTTGTTGTTAAATGTGTGCAGGGGACAGAAACAATGCTAGATTGAAACGTAAGATGGGGGATAATCAACATGGATCTGGAACTCCTAAGAAATCTAAGACTGAAGATGTTTGTTATGCTGATAAACATCTGAATTCTGGCCTGGGATTTAAAAAGGTGGGTCTAAACTCAAGAAATGGTTTACCAACAAAGGCTACTGGAAAAAATATGAGGAAATATGGTGATTATGATTGTTCTACCAATCAAGAGGGCAAGTTGGTAGTTCCGGTAAAGAAAGGAGACTGGGCACAGTTTTCATCAGATGATGGTTCATTGGATGCTACAAACAGCAGCAAAAGTGGTTCAAAGAAGAAAAGGAAAATGCGTGACTGGATGGATAATGAGAAAAATAAGAAAACATTGTCGTTGGAAGATAATATGAAATGTGGTAAAGAGGGAAATATAAATCGGAGGGAGAAGAAGTATATAGTTTTGAATATGGAGGCAAAATCAGTAACTGAAAGTGATGATAAATTGAATAGAGAAAGTGGGATGAAGCAAGTTTTAATGTCAGACAGCAGGGACGAAATGGCTGTTGGAGCAGAGTTGAAAAGTGTTAATAAGGTCCAGCAGCAAAGAAAGCACAAAAAAAGTGTTGCTGCTAACCAAGCTTTGGATTATTTTGATCCATTGAGTAAGGATTTAGGCTCTGGACACTTTTCATTGGCAGCAACTTCAAGCTCTTCTAAGGTTTCAGGGTCTCACAGAGCTAAAACTAGCCTTGAAGATGTCAGGGGCTCCCCAGTAGAATCTGTTACCTCATCACCTTTGAGGACCTCCATCATGGACAAGCGTATTTTGGCAGCAGGGGACCTATCAGAAAAAGATGATGCTAGAAAAGATGGTCTACCAGTTAAGAGTTTGGATAACAGGGAGGGGAAGCTATCAGTAAGAACGAAGGAAAGAATTTCATATGACATACATCTTGCTCATGGTAATTGTGGCAGAGGTTCACATCATGAGGAAAAATTGAACAAGAGTAATCAGGAAAATGCACTTTCTTGGCAGAAATCTGGTAAGGTTACATCATTACGGGTCAAAGAAAAGGACAGAAATTCTGGTTCTGAGATTCGTAGGGATAAGATGGAGGTTTCAGCTTCAGATAATGATTTTTCAAAAAATGGTGTGAGTTATGAGTCAGCAGTTGATCCTAGTCATCATGCTTTTGGTACTGAGACAAGAAATGATGTTAAGAGCAGTTCTCTAAAGTCTAAACACAAGATTGACAACCTTACTAAGAAAAATTCTTCAAGGCATTTGTCCAATGAAGCTGGAAAACTAACTGAGCTAAAACAAAAAGCGGATGCTAGAACTAATAGAAAGATTATCTCCCAGCAGAATCTGATTCAGATCTTTGAGGAAGAAAACAAAGCTAATCCAGTATGCACTGGATCAAGAGATGGGAAAGCCAAAGTTATCTCATCTTCTGAGGGTAAAGTGAAAAGGGAAACATTATATGTGGATTCCAGAACTGCACCTGAGTTGCAAAATGTAGATATGTCTAATGGGCATCCAGTCCATGCATCTGGCCATGGTGAAGTTCCCAAGTTTGTTGGAAATCCAGTTGATGTTTGTTACAAGGTTGGAGTTAATCATAGTTCAGGAAGCTTTGTACCTGATGGACAGTTCAGTGAGTCAAGTCCTGTGACAACAAATTCTAGCCAAACTGCCTCTAGCATTCTGGAAGAAGCCACAAAGCTAAAAGATTCTGCAGATCATTATAAGGTTACTTAATCATTTAAAGATTTTAATTCACATCTGTTTGTTTGATGTAGCATCTTTCTTTTTCTAACCGATGGTTTAATTTTGACTATAGAACTCTGGATTTGAGTTTGAAAGTAATGAGACTTATTTTAAAGCTGCCTTGAAGTTTCTGCACGGAGCTTCACTTCTAGAAAATTCTCACAGCGAGAGTAGAAAGTATGGAGAGATGAGTCAAATGCAAATATATGCTACTACTGCTAGACTTTTTGAGTAAGGAAAATTTGGAAGCTCTGTAAATTTGTTACTTTTCATGTTAAAATCTTGGTATAAAATAGTACCATCATATTTCTACAGAATTTTTATGGACTGCTTTTCTTGATCTATTTGCCTTAGCTTCCCTTTAATCATAAAATGTATTCCAGATCTTGTGCCCATAAATATGAAAGACGTCAAGAAATGGCTGCAGCTGCTTTGGCATATAAATGCATGGAAGTGGTATACATGAGACTGGTTTACTGTAAACATTCTAGCATAAACAGGGATCGTCATGAGTTGCAATCAACCCTGCAAATGGTTTCTCAAGGTAATTGAACACAGTTTGGACTTTAGATATAAGTATATATATGTGTTCAGGCTTGTTGAGCATTGCTGTATGTTGGTGATGTTTCACTGCATTTTTTCTCCATTCTTTAGGTGAATCTCCTTCCTCTTCTGCATCTGATATTGATAATTTAAATAACCTGGTGGTAGTGGATAAGGCTACTTTGACAAGGGGTTCCAATACTCATGTCTCTAACAATCAAGTCATATCTGCTCGGAATTTCCCAAATATTGTCAGACTTCTTGATTTTGTAAGTTTTAATTTCTTGACACACCTTATGTTTCATTTGGAAAATCTATCTGGGTGCTTTGATCCTGAAGTACCATGGAACTATTGTTGGGTATTTAGTGATTAAGTGATTCAAGATAATAATAGGAAATTGATTCTGTACTAGACTACCAGATAGAATGTTTGAGGAAAGTCCATGGATGGAAGCTGGTCTTTCTATGCTAAATAGGAAGTACATATTTTTTTGCCTTAAAATCAGTTTTTATAGCATGCAAGATATTGGCACATAGTAATTTCTTGAAAGCACAATTATTGGTTATAAGGTAGTTCAACCTTAAATAGTATTGTTTATTCCTTTTGTCCTTCCTACTTCTCCTTGAATAATAAGAATTTTAGCTTATATGGTTTCAAATTTCATTATGTGATTTTGCAGACTCAAGACATAAGTTTTGCAATGGAGGCTTCTAGAAAATGCCAGAGCACTTTCATGGCTGCTAGTTTGAACATGGGAGAGGCACGGAATAGCGATTGCATAGCTTCTATTAGGAAGGTTGTTGATTTCAGTTTCCAAGATGTAGATGAGCTTGTACATCAGGTTTTGACTGCAACAAAAGCAATAACTCGTGCTGGTCTTGGTGGTGTTAGGGATTAACTTGATACTGTATATAACATTTTTTTGGGTTTCTCTTCTCTACTGAGAAGGTATCCTGAAAGGAAGTGGCTTAAGGATATCTACCTATGCTGGCACTAGGAAACCTGCAAAGAAGGCAGGCCACCCACAACATGTTACCCTTATGTACATATGTACAAAATGAGATTATTAGCAAATTTTGGAATGTATTTTTAATTGCTCAGGTTCTTCTTATCTGTGAATAGGAGCACAAATTTCTCACCCTTAAATTTTATGGGTTAGAAAGAGGGAAGTGATTCCTTCTTGTTTAGTGACTGAGGATGGATATCATGTAATTTTTCAGTGATACATTCTTTGCTCCACTGATTTGGAGCCCCTGAAAAAAATAAAATAAAGTCTGGAAATGTGAGGCAACCAGTTTTGATGACCTTGGATACTGATATAGTTATAATAACAAGTTTAAATAAACTCCTTTTCTGTTATCATATTGAAGTTATGAAACGCTTACAAATCCTTGCAGAAAAGTTTTTATTGTGTCTCATTGGTACACACCCATATATTGGTCCTGCCAGCTTTTGGAATTGAAGTATTCCGATATACAGGTACATAGTCATAATCGTTAAACTGTTATCTGCTCTCTCTCTTTTTTATTTTTATTTTTTATCTATCTGACTTCCTACAACGGTTTAGGTTATATACGGTTTATTATTTGGATCAGGTTAACTCTACAAGATAGGAGAATTGTCAGCTGTTTGAGTTGACTTGGATAATTTGTGCGGCCCCAGGGAAGGTACCCTGTGAGGAATTTTAGCTAGTAACGAGTTATATGCTTGACCAAGGTTTGCAAGATTTTTTTATATTTGATTTCTGCGAGAATTTATTTTGTCACTTTCCTTTTCTATTGTTCGGACGATTTGTTTCATTTGAATTTTGTTAATAATTGTAATTATCCTGAATGGCAGTAAGAATTCTATCATCTCTTTTGCAACAAATTGCTAAGAAGCCTTAGGAGACATTGATACAGTGATTCAATGTATAAAACCATAATTACTTTACTTATTCTGGTATTACCTGTTAAAATCAGTTATAAGGTACCCTGGTCTATCTGAGTTTATTGATATCTCAATTGTGCTTCTTTACAGTCACTTACGCGTAATTAAACAGTGAGACTCAGTAAATTAATAAATTCCTTAAGTTTCATTCAGGGTTTGCTATGTTCTTTTCATGTTTTCAGATATTGGTTTAGTTTGTTAGGTGCATTGCACATTGAATATACGTTATGTTAAAGAATCGTTCAGCATATAACCGACGACAGTCTGGTTTTATTAGGTTTGTCTTGAGCCTATGTTGAGTGTTGACTGTCCTCACTTGGCGATCAAAGTTTGGTCTAATTTTATTTTATTTTTAAAATTATTATTATTATTTATTTATTAAAGTTTGAAGTCTAAATGTTTATATCATTGTAATTTTTATGGATTAAAAAAATTAAATTCTTAAGTCTAATATCATTGGTAGCTCTTTTATTTGAGAATTAAAATTATACTAGTATTTTAACTTATGCAATGTACATGCTAAATGTTATTATATAGCTAAAATTTATAATACATTATAT